ATGTAATATCAATACGAGGATGTCTTGAGTTTGAATCACTGATTATATATGCTCTCTGCAGACGCCATCGTTTCAAACTCTCTTTGGCTTGTATTCAACCTTCCTGTTTTCTGCCTTAGATTGGACTCATTCTCAGAGAGCACCTTGGTCTTGAATACGCCTTGTTCTGTCTGACTGGTTCCACTTCTGTCTACGTATTCAGCAGATTGGTCGTCTGAAGACGATCCATCGTCATTATCGAAGAGCATTCGCTTATTATCTGCCACGAGCAATGGAATGCATCCAATAAGAGCATTTTTTCTAAAGAGTTCAAAGAGATAGTTGTTGGTATCGGGTAACAGCTTAGTCTTAGGTGTTGGAAGATGGATTTAGTTGTTCGTTATTGGTCACATCAGGTTAGGGCTGAAAACCCTAATTAGATATAAAAGTGCAGAGACGACGAAGAAAGTGATTCTCATTATTACAAACTACATCATGACTCGGTTTTCCACTAAGGATAAAACCCTGCACCCCACGCAACAAGTAGACAATGACATTTAATTCAGAAGTGCGAATAGATAGATGACAGCCCTACAGCAGTTATCACACTAACACCCGATTCTAGGAATGCAATAAGACAAATTTAATACATCGACTTAAAAGAAAGTTAATGAATAAACACTCATCAATGTCAGTATATTCACCGGTTCAGTGCGCTGCTCCTCAACATAATCATTTAGCCATTTTTACTTTTAATCCCTTTATCTGTTATTAAAAACATCATAATTCATACCCATGCTTGTAAATATCTTTTTTGGAAGCTATGGATGCATACAAATGATTGAAAAATTCTATAATCTGGATAACAGAGCACCATACACTTTTGTAAAAGGCAGCATGGACTCTTTTGTGCTACATAACGTTCTAATTAAGGATACAAAAATTAGTAGTCTATGTGTTCATTGGTGCGATGATGAGAAACCAATGGAGACAGGAATACATAGATTTCCTCCAGAAAATAGTGATCCACAAACTGTTTTGAAGGGAGAAATAGATAATTTATTTGACCCTGATTATTGTCCAGATGAAGAAATAGAAGTTAGAGAGTTACTGCTTCTTCAAAGTGAAGAGGATTTTGATGACACAAAGAAGAGAACGATAGCTGAACTAGAGAAAACTGATTATAGGAATAACTTTAGCGATTTACCTAGGCAAATTTGGTATCAAATATATTTATATATCAGGGAGTTAAAATCAGAATTCTGTAACTTATCGATAGATGACAGAAAGAAAGCGATTGTAAAAGTCAACCAACATGAATCAGCAAGCATATTGGCGCATTACAAAACTTTTTGATAAAGCGGATGAGAAACAAACATGGAAAGGAAGCTATATGAAGGCTTATGTAACATTTGATCACAAGGGAAAGGGTTACAAAAGTGATCTGTTTAAGTTAATGAGAACACGAAACATATTTATTATAGATAATGATGAAATGAAATGGTTATATGTACCTGGAATGAAACCACTTAAAACACAGATCACCCAGAAGATCACCCAAAAAAGATAAGGGTGATGCAAAGGAAAAGGGTACATCTTACATACTGGGATACATAATTAGGTTTGCATTAGTTGCTTTACTGATCTTCTTGATATACAGATGTGTAAGAGGATCAAAAAACAATAATTCTGAGCAACCAAATACACCGTAATATGGAGGAGCTGATATCCTTATGAATAAACTTAATGCTCCATAATATGAAATTATTAACTTCTTTCAATCAGGTAGGTGTGAATAGTTAATGGTTTTGTAAGAGGGAACAACTTCAAACATTTTCCTTGAAAATAGAGACTGTTGGTGAACACCTGAAATGTCAGTCGTAGCCCTGCCCTGATCATAAGCTTGTTGTTTCAATCAGATTAGGTATCGGCTCTATCATAGAACACTTGATTCACCCTTTTGAATTTTGTTTTTAATTCCCCCTATGCTGTTAGTTCATATCATTCTAGTATTGACAAAAGCGTATAAGATTGTCACTAAGCCTACACTTGACAGTCCATGTTTTCTACATGGTTGTTTTTGGCATAATAACATTGAAATTGATCTATCAATCAAAAGAATGCTATTTACGAATGATGCGATTGAATTGGATATTGTACAATCGCAGGAGACCATAGACCTCAGGCCATATGAAAATGCTTCAAATAATACAGAATTGGTAGCTTGCAAAGAATGCATTGAATCCTTTAGACTTATTTCAGAATGGTACTTCAGCAGCTATAATTCATTAGAACTG